AACAAAAAAAATCTTTTATCCGTACTTTTTACACACTACCAATTATCAATATTCTTTAAAGGGAAGAAATGCTCTGTATTTCATAAATTTTCCAATAGTTATAATTAAATAATTAATTTATAATAATATAAATTGAAAAGAGAGTGCAACAAATGCTATATTAGGAAACTTAAAAACTACCACATTATTGCTTCAACAAATAAATTTCTAAAAGTTGCATTGGATACATACATACATACAATACATATATACAACTCATTGCAACTTGCTCATTTACGAGTATTACATGTATTATTCCAGAATAATTAAAAAATTAGCAGCTGTATTTTAAGAATTTAAATAAATAAATAAATAAAATTGTTGTTAGGAGTTTAAGAATTTTTGGAATTTTGGTCGTTAGTAATTAAATATTAATATATATTTTTTACTATTTTATTAGAAAATATTATACTCCCTCCATTCCATAACAAAGTATCCATTTTTTTTTAGTAACGGTACTATCTACCTAACATTACAAATACCCTTACAACTTGCAATATATTACACAAATGTCATTACCTTTGTATCACACATACTAATGAGGTTATTTTAGTCATTTCTACTTTATTCCTACTATATCCCAATATATTTCTAAAACTACGTGCAAAAAGCAAATAGATACTTACTTTTGGGACGGATGGAGTATTTGAAATATATTATTTTGTAAAAATAAATAAATCCTACCCTTTCCGGTACCCGTGTGGCCAAAAATACTGGCTCAATTAACATAATCAAATTTCATTTATTTGGCACTGTTTATTTTTAAAATAATATAACATCAAATATATATTTTCTTTACTCGTGAGCCTCTAGGTCTTGTTTGTCAATATTACACATGGTTCGTTTAGTGTGACTTATTTTGTAGAGTTTAGTTTACAGGTTATTAGATTTGACCTGAAATTTTTCCAAAATGCGCTCGAAGAGTAACTGTTGCATGTTGTCACATCACTTAAAAAAAAATTGATACTACACTTTCTAGTGTGACTTATCTTGTCGGACCTAATTTGCAAGGTATTAGGTTCGGCCGAGCATTTATTCAGTGCACACTTTCGATAAAAGCTGCGGATTACCACGTCATTAAAAACAAAACAAACAGACAAACAAAAACAAAAACAAAAGAATGAATGAATGAATGAAGATATATGAATGTGTATTTATGCTACATCCATAAACAAGATGTGATCTATTAACATATCTTCATGTATTATTTTTATTAGATACTTTTTTTCTTCCATAAAAATTATGCTTGGATAACATAAATTAAGAGTAAAAATATGCTACTTCTTTAGCAAATCAATGGTATAATATACTTTTGTCACGAGATTTAAAAAATATCGATATTATATAATATGGTATTAAATATTTGTGCCACAAAATCATATCTAATTAATTTGAAATGAAAAAAATATTATTAACACCCAAAGGCTGTTGCACTTGTAAGATTATGATTTTTTTGTTTTAGTTTTAAATATTAAATTTTTGAATTGAAATAGTTGTTTGATGCGATATAAATATGTGTTAATGTGATGTTTTGAATGTAAAATTAAATTTTAGTATAATTAAATAAAAATAAATAAATATTTGATTTGATATTTTTAGAGAAAATAATAATTAAAATAGTAAAATCAAAAATAAAATTTCACAAGTAAACAAACCCAAAATTGTTATATATTTAAGTAGATAGTAAAGAGTACAGTTCTTTCCCTTCAGCAAATCTATGTTATTTTTATTATTTTATTTGTCAACAATATATATTTTTTCAAGTTATAGTCCCTCCGTCCCAGATCCCGTGTCTGTTACACCGTATACACGATATTTTAGGAGGGATGTAATTAGTAGATAATTAAGAATATATTAGTAAAAATAATTATCCTATAATATAAATAATTATAAATTAAGATTAAGATAACTAATAAGTTTAATTAAAATTAAAAAAAAAATAAAATTAAAAAAATTAAAATGAGATTAAAGTGTGTAATCATTTTCCAAAAAAGAAAAGTGACATGGTACGTGAGACGGATAAAAACGGCAACATGGACATGATATCTAGGACGGAGGGAGTAATAAATATATTCTTATATACATTGATTTACAGTCCTGTCACTATTATCTACAAACTTAATCTTTTTATTTTTTTTCATATCATTAACCGTTTTACTAATATAATAATTATATTTATTGAAATCAAAATGACCAGCCAATCAAAATATTTAAGATATTTAATTCAATTGAACCTCTATCATATCAAATTATATTACTTCCTCCCCGTAACTAAATATTCATTTGTTTTTTTACACGTAATTTTAAAAATATTAATATTATATTAGTAAGAATAAAGTAGAAATAACTAAAATAACCTTATTAGTATGTGTGATATAAAGGTAATGACATTTGTGTAATATATTGTAAGTTGTAAAGGTATTTGTAATGTTAGGTAGATAGTACAATTACTAAAAAAGGAAATAAATATTTTGTTATGGGACGGGCTAAAATGAAAAAAATGGATACTTTGTTATGGGACGGACGAAGTATATAGTATCAATTCATATGTTGCATTTGTATTATATTAATATAATTTATGTATTATCTGTTATATACTATACAACATATTATCTGTCTTTATATGTTGTCATATGTAGTTATATTGTATGCTGTTAATTCATATATGATATGTTATTTGCCTTTGTATGTTGCTAATTTATGCACTTTCCCTGTCCTATATAGAGTAAAATTTGTTTTTTGTATGTAAATTTTTTAATATTAGTATTATATTGAATTTGTAATAAAAAAGACAAAAATATTCTTATTAATATTATGTAATATAATGGTGGTGACATTTAAGCAATATATTGTAAATTGAAAATATATTTATTATGTTAAGTAGTACAATCACTAAATTAGAAAATAGTACATTTGTTTTGGGACGGACGAAAACTAAAAAATAGAACCCTTATTATGAGACGGAGGGAGTAATATATTTTATTATGTTAATCAAATTCATATATCATTTGTTTTTCTATCATGTGTTGTCTTGTTTATATTATTGTGTTGTTACATCTGAATGTGAATTAGTTTGTGTCAAATCGTGTCGGATTAAATATTTTTATCCAAGTGAAAATCCCCTAAATCTAACCCGATATGCTCATCACCATATCAGGTTCGTAAACCCATGCATCCAAATCCGATTACTCTTTTTGTCCGTCGAATTTGTGAATTTGTTCTCAATTTTCTTTTAATTCGTCCATTAAATTTATTTTATTATTAATTTTGACAAAATCAACAAATCAACATTTAATTATTATTTTTCATTCATTGTTTATTTACAACAAATACCATTGACTTTATTATATTATCTCTCTTCATTTACTTTACCTTTTAGTTGAATTTTAAAAAATACCTCTACCTACCTGTCACATTTTCAATAAAATATTTATTTTTTCAATTCTCGTACCGAACTCAAATTGGCTAATTTTAATCCAAGGAGTGAGTGTTTTTTATCTGATTAATTTTTGCTAAAAACTCTATATACTACCTAACACTAGCACAGTAACTGCTGCCCGCTAAAATTCATATCAAGCTTATATGACATTCATTTTATACCGAGACGATATAAGTATATAAATATAGTAATCAAACTTAAAACGAAAGAAAATCTAAATTTAGCTAATATGTAAAATCAAAACAACAATAACATACACGTCTTAATTTTAAATTTATGATTAGCAAGGGTTATAAAACTATTGATATGTATTCAATATGTGCCCAAACAAACTAAACCAGCTAAGTCTAGACTAAACCCAATCCTTCTCACAACTAACTCGATACTCAAATAATCGGATTCAATCGCAATAACGAAAATCAGATACAAATAAGGTATCAAGTTTATTGATCTCAAACAACAGGCCAACACTATATTATCCACTTTTTAAAGCCACGTAATCAAGATCGAGTCCAAGCCCGGGTTTATTATACAATCCACCAAATGAAATTTCATATAAAGATACAAGATCTAAGTCCAAATCCAAATCCAAATCCAAGTCCGAATTCATTACACAATCCACCATCAACCAAATGAAGTCTCACATAAAGATATATGATCATGTCCAAGTCCGGGTTGATTATACAATCCACCAAATAATGTCTCATATAAAGATATATAAAATCAAGCCAAAGTCCTAGTACGGGTTCATTATACAATCCACCAAATAAAGATATAAGATCGAGTCCAAAAATCTCATATAAGATCAAGTACGTGTTTATTATACAATCCACCAAATAATGTCTCATATAAAGATATATAAGATCAAGCCCAAGTCCTAGTTCAGGTTCATTATACAATCCACCAAATAAAATCTCATATAAAGATATAACATCGAGTCCAAAAATCTCATATAAGATCAAGTCCGGGTTTCTTATACAATCAACCAAATAATGTCCCATATAAAGATAGATAAGATCAAGCCCAAGTCCTAGTCCGGGTTCATTATAAAATCCACCAAATAAAGTCTCATATAAAGATATAAGATCGAGTCCAAAAATCTCATATAAGATCAAGCCCGGGTTCATTATACAATCCACCAAATAAAGTCTCGTATAAAGATAAATAAGATCAAGTCCAAATCCAAATCCAAGTCCAAGTCTTGGTTCATTATACAATCCACCAAATAAAGTCTCATATAAAGATATACGATCGAGTCCAAAAATCCGGATTTAATTTTAAGCCGAGTTGGAGTGGGCTGACCCGGCTCGCCGGACATCATGAGCATTTAATATAGTTGGGTTCTAAGTCTTTAAATTCAATTAAGTTTCACAATGGAACTACATAAGTTTCAAAACCTAAATGCATATAAGTTCCCCATATAAATTGCATTTGTATGACATATATGCTGCATTCTTGAAAATCCATAAGAGATGATAATAGGGAAAAGAGTAAAAAAATTAAATATTGACAACGCCGAGGGTTGATTCAAATAAGCAATTTGTAAGTAATGGTTGAACTGGAATACAATCTCCCTCACTGCTATCTACATTTACTTCATGAGACCGTGTTAGTTAAAAGAAATTGCGAAAAATCCATGGGGTACTAACATTAGGGACACATTCCTAGCAACTTTGCTCATGTGTAAAGGTAAAACAAGCCATTGCTTCAAAACATGTGGATGTTTCGATTTGTACCTTGTGAACCCTATTTAGACCGGCTGGCCTTATTGTCCAGTACTTTGATCTTGCTCAGCAACTGCTCGATTGTATTTGATGCTTCCTGAGGAAAAGAAATAGTAGATATGGAACACATCAGATGTTTATTTTGAAGCATTGAAGGAAAGCAAGTAAGACAAACTCAACCCTTAATTTCTTTCTCATAGTTTCCTCCTCAATGTCCCGGCGTTGCCTCTCTTCTGAAAATATGTCGATCAGGCTCTCCTGCTCTAATTTTAGCTCCTCATTCACCCGTTTCAACTGTTCTACCTGATCATTTTGTTGAAGGTATCATCAGCATATGTAGGAAATTTACATATATACTATATACTTCTCGATAATTCAAATTACAGCTTCGCAAAGATTGATAGTTAAGGCACAGAAGGCAGAGTATTTCTTGGAACTCTAAATTGATGACAAACAAGCTATACAATCTGAGGTTAAAGCATTACAAAATGACTTGAAAGGGTTTGAATTTTCATTTATTTATTTATTTTTGTTCTCTGAGCTTTTTTCTGAATTATAGAGAGACACAGGACGACTCTCAAGAATTAGGTAACCAATTTGTAGAACATTTATGTCACTAACAACCTAGTGTGAGATCATAGAAAATAATGTAAATATAAAATTTATTGGAAAGAAAAATACCAGCTTAATCAAGTATTGTATGCTAACATCACGTATATTCGGAAATGTCAACCTCGCTATGTTTCAAGGAACAAATGATGGGCAGAACAAAATTTACCTCAGCTTCAAGGGCCTTGCATCTTTCCCTTTCTTGATTTAAATCTTGCAGCATGTCACCGAGAATCTCCACTTCTTTTCTTTTCAATCTGTTAAACTCAATATTGAAGAGGTTTATGACGTGACTAAACAGAGAGCAAATAATTCAGTGTGTGCATAAAGAAAGTACCTTTCTTTTAACTGAAGATTCTCTTCTTTCAACTGGGCTAAAACATGAGGACTGGAACTTGATGGTGAAAATTCAACGTTCTGTTGGCACATTTATTCATCGGTATTAACTTAGAAGTGTCATGGAAGCAGCAAGATAATTTCTAAAATCTAATAATATAATTCCAGGAACACATCATGAACATGAATGCAACACATTGATATTCATGTAATACACATAAAAGTGGAATTGTTGCCACGAGAGTATTGGTTTTGCAATTTTAGTTTTAACTCGCACAGCCGATATGCAATGAAAACAAGATATTGTAACTTCATCGTCAAGTAATCTTTTACTACTAGCTTATATGTTTACTGAAAACCCTTTCTTCATACTTGTTAATATGAAACCATGAACTTAAAAGACATCAATAATACGGTAACAAAGTAATCCTTACGTTATGGAAGGATGAAAGCATTGACAATAATTTACCTTCAATAGTGAAGAAAACACAAACTGCACAAGATTTCAATTCTATCAAACTCAATCCTTGAAAGAGTTAGAAACTAAATACCTGTGAGGCTGAACTTCTGGTTACTCTAGTAGTTCTTTGGGAAGGTGTCTCATATCGTTCAGCTTCATGATTCGATATGTCCTGTGATTTATTCTTTCCATCCGAGTGCTTTGAGGATGATTGATTGGCTTGCTTACCAAAACTACGATTTGGCAAATCATCATCATCACTAGCATCAACTGTATGTGAAGAGGGTTGAGCAGTATAACTCGGACGCTTTCTAAGCACTCTTGCATCCCCCTTTCCATTCGAATGCCCATTGCTAGCACCCTTGTCTACCAAATTATGTGTCTTGTCACTTGTAGCACTCTTTTTTGTCTTTGGTTGAGGCGTAGGTGTATCAAGCCCCGTCCCTGGAAAATGTAGACACTTGTCAGTTAGATAACATACTGAGTTTAAGTAATTCTTTGGAGAGCGGGAAGTGGTTATAGTTACTAAGGCATCTCCTTTATGAAAACACATGAACCCAATCACTTTCTTTGGTCTTCGATACCAAACCACACTCTCAATTGCCTTACACGCTAAGTATAGCTTCATCCCCAGTTTCTTTATATTACATAAAAATTTAAACAACAAGAAGTAAATCAAGTCCATATTACTCACTCATTACTTGCAATTGACATAGAAACTGAATTTCATTTGTGCTCAGCAAGTATTATCTCATGCACCCTATCATCCTAATTGCATGCATTCAGATTCACATCTCACAAAAGACACATTGCTTTACCTTCAATAACAACACCCAAACAATGTGTATGCCTTACCTCTTTGATGGTTTTTCTTAGAGCCTCGTGGAGCATAGCCTATCTTATGACAATTTGAAGTCCTGGCATAACCACAGCATAACAATTTTAAAAAAAAAAAAAAAAAAAAAAAAAAACCCTCAAATAATAATGGCAAAGTAAAAACAATTACGAAATAATTTGTTGAAAAGTAGAATAAAATACAAACCAATAGGTCCTCTGCATCTGAATCAATCGTGTCTCAAGTCTAGCAAGGATTGTAGTTCGCTCAAAACCTTGCTTATCATGAGCTGGTTCAATAAAATTGGCTTCAAGCACACCTTTGGCAAGGAAAGACAGAAGTAAGCAAGATAAAAAAGATAATTAAACTTCTAATAGTACAATCAGTAGCATACCTATAACTCCACGGCCATCACTACCAGGAGGATGCCATACTCTCCAAAATGGCTGGGACAATGACAATATAGAACATTAGGTGTAGATGCTTGCATTAAGAGAAAAAAACACAACATCCCATAATAGATATTACTTTCAATTTATAATTAATCAGATGATATAACCATGGTTCTTGAGATAAGGATTAAAAACATGAAAGACGTGCATATATTAAGAACATTTGAAGATGGAACAATTAAACCAACTATCTTACATATATAAAATAAAACTCTAATCCTAAACACATGACCAATGATTGCTTAGCTCTCCAATACAACATACAAGTTCCAAGTATGCTGAACCATACATTTACAGAAATACATTAAAAATAATTAGAAAAGGATACAAACAGGAAATAAATAGAATAATTATCCTCAATTCATATCGCCATAAGTTGAATTTTGTCACTTGAAATCAGAAACAGCAAGTGAACATGACACTACCTTGATAAGTCTATTCTTGTGATACACATTGAACCCCTGAACATCAACGTGAGACCTTGCATCCTTCACAAACCCAATGGTAACAACAGCAACCATCTAATGAAACAACAAGTTAATAATGAGATATAATTAAAGAAATTGCAAATAAACATAACAAATCATCAACAATATAATTACATTTGAGTCCTTCGGAATCCCATCAACGCCTGGCTGAGGCCGATAAGTAACTTCCTGAGACATCATCATATCATTCACAATATTATGGTGCTCAATATCTTTACCACGCAAGATCATTCGAAAGTTAGGAGGAGTCCTGAGATAGAGTATAGCCGCATAACTCTGCAACCCAACAACCAATGTGATCAACAACCGCAGAAATTTATGTTTGTTATATAAGCATCACTTGCATGTATTCATGTTTACGAAAGTTGAAATCATCAATTGTAAAAGCAACTCATCAAAGCAGTGAAGCACACCCCAACACCTAGAGCCATTGTCTACCTCCCTTGCCTTTCAGATCTGTTCCTGCACATGGTATTATTTCACCTAGACTCTACCACAGTTTCTTTCTTCTCATCCTATCCACCTATTGTTAACATGTTTGCCCCACCTTCCCCAAGCCTAGAAACTTCATTTCATTACATTCATAAGTAAAGGCTATATGAAATATATTGAATTGATTGTATTCACGAGATTACAAGCTTATAGAGAAGTTCATTCTATGAATGTTTGTCCATTTATTTGGGGGAACAAGAACAGCAAAATAACCATCCTTTACCTTCATTTTTCAAATATTTAACTTGTTTAAGCAAAAAACTAGGTTAACATCTCTGGAACTCAAATATCATTAATTCACACAAAGTAGATAAAATATCACCAAATAAAAAGTTTCATCTCTTACATACATGATATCAAATGAAAGCCTTTCTAACAAAAATGCAGCACATAAACGATTAAGCTTGAATTAATATAATAATGCTTCCACTGCTATAAATTAGAAATAGTAAACAAACTTTCGTGAAGCTATTCATCATCATCATATTACTTGTCCACCCTAGCTTGAATGCTTAAGATAGATGCATGCACATATAAAGCCTTAGACCTCCACCAGTATAATACATCGACAAATAGTGACACAAAAGGAATAAATTCAGCCTTTTAAATATAATTGAAAACCAATTACAGTAAATATGACAATGTCTTTCTATTTACACACATCCATACACAACATGACAAAGAATACCAGATGGAATGTCCCAAAAAAAGTCAACACAAAGGATATGACAAACAACTACTCAAGAATTATAAAACTGAAAATTACTGAGAAAAATCATTTCAAGAATTATATGACAGGTGTAGGCTTACCCTCAGTGAATGCCTATACGTTAGGAAGTGCTTTGAGTTGGGGCATTTTTGGGCCATATCTATGTTCTTCTCATCCCTGTTGACCCCTCTGATTTGGATGTCCTACAGATCAACAAACCAAGGTTTACACACGAGGACTTAAGCCACATACAAATCAAGTTCTCCACAAGCATAAATTACATGAACAGCTTACATGTGGGTCACTGTCAAAATCAAGTTCCAGCAAACCCTCATCATCCTCCCAGAGATTATATATATAGATCCGTGTACCTTGATCTTGCATATGATTGAACTACAGAAGTTGCAGAGTACACATGACAAATTAGCAAACAGTCAGCACACAATTGCTCATGGAATCAGGAAGGAAAAGTTTCAATCACAATAAAAAAAAGTAACAAGCAAGAATAACAAGAATTAATTACTCTTCACCTGCTGGAGAAGATCTGCTTCACTTGAAAATGGAGACCACTGCACTATTGTCTCAACATTTTGATTCCATTCGGTAGATGATGGCCTACCAATCCTAATCCAATCTTCTCCAGCTCTTTCATAATCAAGCTTTCAAGAAAAAAGTACATCACAGCCAATGATCAAACAATATTGTAATTGCCAAAAGTATGATATGTTGGCATAAAGGATAAGGGGAGCAACTTAAGTATCAATACTAGCAACATCATAATTTTGACAAAGCTAAATGGCAAATTGAGGGTATGTTTGGTTACCGGTTGGACTATTGAATTTGAAGTTGGGTTGGAAGTAATTACATTTAGTTAATATTTGATTTATGATCTAATATATATAAGATTAAAAAAATTGAAAATGTGTTTAATTATTTAATAAAATATATACAATATGAATATCGTTTTGTAGCGAATAAAATTTTATATAATACAAATAAATAAAAAAATATAAATATTTATTTATGATTAATATAAATTAATTCACAAATAAATAGGGAATTTTGAATGTATATAAATTTTTATTTGTTTATTGAAGAGAGATTAAAAAAAAAAAAAAATTGAATAGGTTTTGAGTGGGTCCCAAAGATGTTATATTTTGAAAAAAAAAAAAAATTGGGAATACAATGCCAACGTAGGCTGGGACGCCAACCAAACACACCCTAAATACTCAATAATTTTGCCTTATAACTCATTTGCAGAACACTCAAAAATAGCTTATCGCATATGAATTTCATTTAAAAATCTCTAATGAAGACATTAAAAGAAGATTATTAACTTAAAGAATTATGGGATACCACTCACCATGGGAACCACAATATCCTCTTTTCCTGTGTTCCTCAAAAATGTATAGGAGAGCAAGCCAATACTTTGTGTGCACCTGATAATCCAATCCATCAAGTAGGATTGCAGGGCAAGGGGGAAGAAACAATCAAATAATTCAGCAATTGCAATGCAGAATGCATAATCATAAAGCATGTTGTTAAGGGGAAAAAAATATACATTGTAGCTGGAAATTATGTTAGGTCGAATTGCTCTTCACAAAAGATAAAAAGCTGCTGCAGGATGTACTATGTTATCTACAAAACCAATTGATTAATCTTTGTAACTTATTACAAACATATGGTGCCACTAGAGAGGAGCATGGTGTATAGCATCAAGCAAATTGGAGAGGCATATGTCCTATATGTTCATAATGATATCCACCTCAACAACTAATCTGATGTGCAAAGTACAACTAGATAAAGAATGCAAACCTTTTCCCATCATTCCCAAGACTCCGAGAAAATACTATAACATCGGCGCCAAGTCTCATGGTGCTTGTCTTGAAGCCATTTCCATCTGGCACATACATCTTCAGCAGTTAATCAAGAAGCAATATAAAGATATCTTTGGAAATAAAACTATGCATGTGAATGTGTGTAGAGAATGAAATGTGAGATGTATTATCGGCACACATGGAAGAAATGGAAGGAGGGAGAGAGAAAGCACATTGTCCAATAGTATCTGCCAATTTGCTCTTCGCAGAATAACCAAGAGACATGCAGTGTCGTATTTTATCCGGGTCCATTCCACCACCATCATCTATAAAAGAAAAATATCAAAGCGAATAGTGCACACGAGGATGAACATTTACTTAGGATACCCAAAGGCAAGATATAACAGATAACTTGCAAAAACCAAATTTTATAATTTCCGTAGATTATTCTGAATTTTAAAATATATAATAGAAATTATTAATAAATGATTGCAACAAAAGAGAATTAGAGAACTCAGACTATCTCATATCAAGAAGAGTCTCAGTGTTTGTATGCATCCTCAGAATCCAAGCATACAAAATAATGAATCTATAATTACAAGATAATCCGAAGCATCTGTGGCGAAGGAAACAAAATAAAGCACCTTCAATTAGCAACATTTTGCTCCCATTTTTTGTGTTTTGGGCCATATCAATGTTGACATATGTTGCTCCACTGCGAACCTATAACAAAATTGAAAATAAAAAGGCAGAAAAATTAGATGACAAATGCAACAACGATGGCTTAGTCATTATCAACAAAAGATACATGGTAGTTACTTCATCCAGTGAGTTATCCAAAAGTTCAGCAAAAGCTGCACATCAAAAACCAGCATGCTCAGTAAGAAAATATATATAAAACATAGAAATCCACCCAAAACAGAAATGTTTATAATATGAAATTTTGTTAATTACATATGTTCCATTACCTCCAAGAACCCATTTATGGCTGGTAGCATTGGAATGTAAGAATTTAGGGTGTACCCTAACTCGATCCATTCCTCCTGTAAAGAAAAAAGTTATTAGTTAAACCTAATGCATTTTCGAAGAAAGGTTTATCTAATCAACAAGGACAAAGAACATAAGAAGTTTTCAAATAGCTATTTGAGCAGTATCACATATAATTAGAAGCACAGTATCTTCCATTAGCTGAACAAAATGCAACTCTTTCTAGAGTGCAACAATCTTTACACTACTAAAAAAATTCTTCCTTGTCTCCTCACAGCTTTCGAGAAGCATCTCAAGTAAAAAGAACAACATACACAATAGAATATAATATATAGGTGTGTTTGTTTGGGGTTTATTTTTGGGTTTGAATTTTTTAATAGTAAAAATTGAATTTAATAGTTGTTTGATGTGATAAAAATAGATGTTGGTGTAATGTTTTGAATGTAAAATAGATTTTTAGTACTCCCCCCGTCCCAACTCAAAATAACCTTTTTATCATTTTCGTATATCCCATTCAAAAGTATTCATCTTCTATTTTAGTAAAAATAATTATATATAATGCAAAAATATCCTAATCTTTTACTTAAAGTACAAATATACCATTACACGTACAATTACTTTATACATAAAGTCAAAGAACAAAATTGCCAAAACTTCTTCCACATTTCCACTAACTAATAACTATTATTTCTTAATCTACTACAAAACTCTAAAGGGGTATATTTATCTGGGACGAAGAGAGTATAATATTAAAAAAAAATATATATTGATCGATTTGATATTTTTTAAGGAAAAAAAAAACAAACTGAATATTATAAACCCCTGGAAAAACCCACAAAAGAACACAACCTTGATGGTTCTCTAGTCGAAACATGAAAACCTTGCAATCAGCTAAGCTTACAAAAGGGAAAAAGAGAAGAGACCTACAAATGGGAAGACATGTCAAGTGTGTAGCTAGAGAGAAATAACAACGTTGCATTACGAGACTGTGGATGGATTAACAATGTGAGATGGTATCTGACAGGCTGGATTGACACTTGACAGCAATCAGCAGGAATAGCAATGATAACTGCGAGGGCAACTCATCCATCTCATGCTTGGACAGAGATGAACCAATACTGTTAACTAGGCTATTGATATTTCTCGTAAAAAAATCTCTAGACCCATAGTTGTCAATCTCGGATAGGGTAACAAACTAACAGTCAACCTCTAAGATACTATATCAAAATAGCGGGGATAACAGGATGGCCACTATAAAAAATTTAAGCATGCATATATTAAAATGATTATATATAGAAAATTACAATAAAATGCATAAGAAAATTCTATAAATTAATTTAACAATTCTCATTCAAACCAATAAAACTGCAGATATATAATCTTAATAGATAGTCAAATATCCGGCTATTGCGTGTTTCTTGGAACCAACCTCATAACTTGGAAGGCCAAGAAATAAAGTATAGCGAGTATTTTATCTACGGAGGCAGAATATAGAAGTATGAGCAAAATTACTTATGAATTGCTATGGGTCTCCTACATCCTAGAAGCTCTGTAGGTTCATGTTCAATAATCTACACACTTCAGTGTGCCAATCAATCAGCTATCCACATAGCAAAAAGCCCGATCTTCCATGAGAGAGCTAAGCATCTCGAGATTGATTGTCACTTTGTTAAGACACCATTACATCAAAGGGATTCGTTGCTCCAATTCATGTCCGCAACAGATTTTAATTAACATTTTCACCAGCCCCTTGGCTTTCAAGAATCTAAGCAGCAAGCTTTTCTTGAACACACTTGGCATGAGGGTAGGGTATGAGAAGAAGGTTGCAATTGTACAATGATTCTAAAGTAGAGTGGTGAGTAACAGAGGATGAAGATGAAGACTGCCCTCCTTAATTTTAGCATCAGGTGTTTCGTATATTATGTAAAAATATTGTGTTTTTTTGTAGGCTTTACCAAAGATTTTTACTCCTCCCTCCGTCTCATAACAAAATATCCATTTTAGTCCGTCCCATAACAAAGTATTCATTTCCTTTTTTTTTAGTAATTGTACCATCTACCTAACATTACAAATACCCTTTCAACTTACAATATACTACACAAATGCAATTACCTTTATATCACACAATACTGATAAGGTTATTTTAGTCATTTCTACTTTATTCCTACTATATTCCAATATAATACTAATATTTCTAAAACCCCATGCAAAAAGCAAATGGATACACAGTTATGGGACGGAGGGAGTATTCAAATTCTTTTTTCTCCAAAGATATCAAATCAAACAATCTTTTGTTTTTTATATTATACTAACAGTCTATTTTACATTTAAAACATCACAACAACATTTATTTATATCACATAAAACAACTATTCAAATTCAAATTTTTACTATTCAAAAATCCAAATCCAAACCCACAAACAAACACACCCATCTGTTTGTTAGGCAGTTAGATGGACTCTTAAATCACATCAAACAACTATTCAATTTCAAATATATACTAATAAAAAATCTAAACCCACGAACAAACACACCCGATTGTTAGGCAGTTAGATGGACTATTCTAGAGTGGAAATTTTCTGTTAGAAATTTGTTATAGAGTGGAAATTTACCTCTCACAATTTGTTTCTTCACAAGGAACAGCTATTTGTGGCAGTTCCTTGCCGTGTTTGCAGTTATATATACACAATGACAGAATACAGAGTAGAGAGTGTGCATATGAACGTTCATTAAACCCTAATTTCTCCAGCGAGTGTTATTGTGTGTGCATTATCTGTTCAGTCACTAAATCCTACTAATCTTCAATTTTCATTTCCATTTTTATTTTATTTTGCAAGATTTCCTAGGGTTCAGTTGTGAGCAGTTTATTTCAGCCCACTTCTTCTACCAGAAGAGAAGCTTCATAGTTGAGAAACAAACTTGCTAGAGATATAATCGGTGCTGCTATGCCCTAGATCATAAATTTGAGGAGGTGAAAACGCTTGAACTAACGATTCAGTCACCAAACAAAAGAGATACCAAAATTGAAGAGCAAAATCAAGACATGCGGAAGAAAATCGGGAAGAAAGCACATCACCATTGGAAGAATCCCAATCCCCAGAAGGCGCTCCCTCATAGTCCCCCGCCTTCCAGAACTGCTTCATACTCGGCTCCAGGCTCCCTTCCGCAGCTGGAATCGCCAAACTCGACGGCTCATCCCCCCTCCAAGGCAACGGCAACGGAGCCCCCTTAGCCGGAAGCGGATCCAAAAACCCCACCGGCAACACCGAATCCAAGTCCTCCGCCGCCCTCTTACGCTTCTTCTTCCCATTACTCTTCAGCTTACTAACGGAACCGCCATCGTCGGAAGAAGAGGAGTCGGACTGCAACCTGGAGTCAGACTCAGACTCGGAGCCAGAATCGGAGTCGGAACTCGATAGTTCAATTAGAGGAGTAGCCGCACCAGGATTTGGCTTCGATTTCTTGGATTTGGGAACGACATTGGTGCCGACTGTCTCCTTTTTCACGCGAGAAGAGGAGCCGCCAGCCATTGGAGAAGCAGAAGGTGAAAGGATTGTGGGTTCAGAGAAATTTGATCAAACGAATATCCCGAGCTGCATTTATTACCTACTGAGAGGAAGGCGGTTGATTTTCTCTCCGGTTCGGGGTTTTACGGAATTCTACAATTCCTTAGTAAATCGCGCCTGCTGTTGGAACTATAAAAATGTATTCAAATAAGTTAAAAACTAGGGTTATTTAAATAATAAAATTTTAAATTAAAATAATTATTGGTATAATATATAAATAAAGAAACAAAATCAAGTTTGTAAGGATAATCCGGTGGTGTTACAATGTGTCACTGTGAGGTCATGAGTTCAAACTCTCAAGCATAACTCTCACGCGGTTTCGAAATTTTGCGTACTATTTTCGTATACTTTAAAAATTGCATGACAATATTCCCCAATACTTTTACAAACGTTGCATGTGACCCTATCCCCGATTTCATATTCATATTTTTTGCATGACGAAGGGTTTGATGCAATATTTTTTAAAGTATAAGAGGTGTCATGCAATTTTTTAAATAAAATAGAGATTTACACTGAGTTTCGAAACTATATAGGGGATTTCATGCAACGTTTTTTAAAATATAATGAAACTCCAAGCAATTTTAAAATAAATAAGAGACTTACGCTGAGTTGCGAAATTATAAGAAAAATATGGGCAATATTGACATCATAAAAGAACAAAGCTATGTAGTAATTAATTATTAGTGTTGATGTAATTAATTGTTGGTTGGAAATTTCCAATGCTCTAAGAGCCTCATTAGGTAATTTAAATTGACTAAACGTTCATTCTATAAATAGTAAGTGAAAATTAAATGTACCTAATAGTGGATGTCATGTGAACCTTATCTGTTTTAGTAATAGCACAGAACAAAAGCGCGCATGCCTCTGCCTAATTTCATCTTCCCACATAAAGAAATTTTTTTAAATAAATAAATATGAAAATAGTAATATAAAAAGAACAAAAGAAAACAGACCCATTAATTAATCTTTTAAGGTGTTTGTTTGTGGGATTGGATTTTAAATACACTATTCATTCAAAAAAATTTCCTCCAAAACATCAAATCAAAGATTTATTTTTTATTTTTTTTAATATACTAAAAATCAATTTTATATTCAAAACATCACATCATCACCTATTTATAGCACATTATACAACTATTAAAATTCAAAAATTTTACTATTCAAATCTCAACTCAAAATCCAAACCCCCGAACAAACAAACCCCTAGGTATTAACGAGTTCAGAGGTAAAAGTTTAATTACCTATAAATAGAAATATACTCCATCCGTTCCAAAATTAAGTATCCATTTGTTGTTTGCACGTAGTTTTAGAAATATTAGTATTATATTGGGACATAGTAGGAATAAAGTAGAAATGACTAAAATAACCTTATTAGTATGTGTGATATAAAGGTAATGGCATTTGTGTAATATATTGTAAGTTGTAAAGGTATTTGTAATGTTAGGTAGATAGTACAGTTATTAAAAAATGAAATAGATACTTTGTTATAGAACAGACTAAAATGGAAAAATGGATACTTGTTATGGGACAGAGAGAGTATATAAAGTGATCCGCACCTAATTTAGCATTTTTTTTTTCTTTTTCGTTTATATACTTTTTATTGTTTTATTTCACTTTTAAGGTTTTATTTTAATATTTTTTTTGTTCAATACACAACCAATTTAAAATAAATTTGAAGAGAATAATTTTATTTTTCTTTCATATATCCATATTTGCAAAGAAAATTACAAAAAAAATTTCAAGTAAATACTCCATTCTATTGTCATTTCTATCGTATATTTATTTCGTTGGCAAAATATATTTTATATATTTGCTGGTATGAGGCCAAATGACAAGGTGTTTTTTAGCAAATGCTGGGCAATTCTTGGAAAATACTTATTTATAATTTCTTGCAAAACCTAGTAGGGAATCGCATTTTGATATGTAAAATAATTCAGCATTGTTGAATATTAACCATAATCTTTAGTTTATATTTTGTTAAATCTACATAGTTAGATACCAGCGCGGATGTGCTGATTGAATTTATTCAGCACCTTTGTTGACAAGTTAAAATATAATTATATTAATTTTTATAATTAAATTATATAATTAATATAATTAAACAAAACATATTTTTATGCATCAGCACAGGTGCTGAATTAACAAATTCAACACCTGATCTGTGGGTATTAGATACTAGTATTATTTAAATTAAAAATTGAGATTAGATTCAACATTACTATAATGGAATTAAAAAAAATTGGATTTTATTTGTTAAGCTTCTCATTATGAGTAGGAGTCCCACTTCTATTAGTTTTATTTTTTAAATATACATACATAAAAAAAAAAAAAAAAAAAAAAATTATTCTTTTAGTCTCGTAGTTGATTTTTTTTATTACTTTAGTTTTGTATAAAAATTATCTTTTTTAACACAATTGGTTCACCGGTGCCAAAAATGTGAACGTGGCACCCACCTAACAAGTCGGAGCACACATGTCTACCAAGTAGGCGCCGTCTGACGAATACGTGGAATATTTTTATTTAATTTTTGAAAGATTATAAACAAACAAACAAGTTTATGTGTCTCTGTGAGGTTGCGCTTTCCTGACAAACATATAAACAAGCTTAAATCATCGATGTAACTTTGGTGTAGGGGTAACATCGACTTTCTTTTCGGATGATGTCACGCGGTCCGTTCCGATTGGTTCACATAAAGATTTTGTAATCCTTCATTTTTTTCGTAAGATGTCGTTTTCATTCTGGAAGAATTTGATTGCAGGTCTTCCTTTTCTCGTCAAAATATTTATATTATTTTCTTTTAATTTAGTGTCAAATTTACTATGATTCTATATATGTACATAATTTTTGTACGATATTTTCTATTTTAAGTCAATTTCGCATTAATGGTTGATATTCATTATACAATAATTAATGTATATGCATAAATAAACACCGTATATTCATTTTATTAAAATTTTATTTTATTTTTCAAAATATATGATATTTAATTTAATTTAGGTATTTATTTTAATGCAAAATTTAGAAGTATTGTCTCATTTACAATTCAATCTTATTTTTATTTAAATTAGAAAAAATATCCAAAAATAATGACGAATTGATACGGATTCCAAATAAAATAAAATCAACTTAATTTTCCCATTAATTTAACATCAAATTTTGTATAAAATCATTATCCCATCACATGTTGGGTAAAAAAAGAATGGAAAAAATTTTAATTACACAATATTTATGTTGAATTGACATCATAATGCCATATTACTTAAATGAAATTATAATACTGTAAAAAAACATACTGTTAGCCTAAAAAATAATTTTCGGCCTAAAACTTCTCATCGGGAGTATTGGTGGGTTCACGGGCAACTCAATGCGAATCCCTGATGGTATGCAATAAATTTAAGAACAAATCACACAAAAATAATCAAAGAAAAACGGCACAAACGAGTTGTATTGATTCAAAATCGATTCAACATTATTTTACAAAAACAAATGAAGAAAAAATATAAGAAAAATGTAAAGAAAAGAAGGATAATATTGTGGATTGAGATGTGGTCAATCCTTATTCGATTGGTTCTCTTTTTGTCCCAAATCATTTCATTAATTTTTTGCATTAAGACCTTCCCATGATTTCACCCCACTGCTCTTTCATAATTGCATATAACATCTCGTTAGAAACCTTAAAAGGTCTTTTAACTTTCTTGCATAATGTATAACCATCAAACCTCCTTATTGCACTCATCAAGACTCTGTTATTGACAATTAACTCTAAGGGTCTCCACTCCACTCGTCAACCCTCAAATATCATCGATTAAACCGGTTTTTCATTGGTCTTGCATTCTTTTGAGCCGCCACTAACATTATCCACCATCAATTTAAATACTTGGACTTGACGCTAACAAAATTATATTGCGTTGGCCTAAGTGATTTTGATCAAATCGATCAAAAGTCCTCCAAAAACGACCCGCCATTATTGATGGAATTTTTATGTGGCAACACATACTTTATAATGTTATATATAATTTGTTTTCCAAGAAATGATTACCGGGCGAATGCATCATTTCCAAGCTCTGACAATACGTACATGAAATATTGTAAATATACACATAGACGATGGATATAAACTAGTTCATTGTGCTTCTTTCTGCGGAAGTGTGGCCGACTGCAGGAGGGAGTCGACGGCGGACGTGGCTGGGAATTGTGATGAGGGAGTGTCGTTCTGATGGGATTATGATTCGGGTAAATTTCGGGGCTAGATGTTTATGTGGAAGGATTAATTAAATTAATCTGTTTGATTTATTATCTTAATAAAAAAAATTGCTTCACCATGTTATCTCATGTATAACATAAAAAAAAAAAAAATGATTCATCTAAAAAGATAAAGTGAATATACAAAAGATATTAATTTGTATATTAACGACACAACTTTCATACATAACATAATGCATTTATCTAAAAACATAAAGTGAACAATCCCTTGTTTGAGTATTATTTATTTTATTAGTTATCAAATGTATTATTAGATAGTGGAAAAATATGATTTAAGTATGATTTTTGTTTGAGTATTATTTATTTTTTTAGTTATCAAATGTATTATTACATAGTGGAAAAATATGATTTAAGTATGATTTTTTTTTAAAAAAAATTAATTAAATATAAAACAATCTATTTAACGTTAATATAATTTTATTTCTCGAATTGTCATATCTTATAAATATTACTTCATTCGTTCGGCACTAAAAGTTATATTTATTTTTTTGCATATTGATATTTGAATATTAATTATATATCAAAATATAGTACAATTTAAAGGGGAAAAAAAGACAAAAATACTTTTATTAGTATTTTATAATACTAATATAATAATTTTTTTTTACAAAAAATTATACAAATATAAAAATATTTTTAATGTTAATACAATGACGCAAAATATAAAATAATATTTAAAAGCTGACGGAGATAGTACAAAATAACAAATGATAATAACAACAACTAGATATTGTAATATTTATTTTTATA